TATATATATAACGAATAAATAGGCCTATATGAGAAATATATTTTTGCTTAATAAATTAAGAAAACGAAAGAAAAACTGTGAAACAAGTAGCCTAGTATGCAGAGTTTGTTCATTTTTGTGCTGCGCGAAAGGAAATAGGCGGCAGAAAGCGGCATCCTATTTTTCTTTAGGCTTATTTTACAAAAGCACAAAGATTTGTTTTTATTGTGAATGTACACAATAAAAACAACGGAGTAGTTTCTTCCACTGTTAGAAGGAAAAAAAAAGTGATTGCGCCGGCGCCGCATGCGCGCACACAGTTAAGCATTGCTACCTTGACAATGCAGCCTGTTTATCATAATAAAATACAGTCAGTCAAACATATGGAAAAACACTTCTCAGTTTAAATATGTAGTCAAATCTGTGCCGTTAAGTGTTATCACCGTACCGCCGTGATGTTATGCAAAACATTTTGTTTTACGTGGATATTGAAACGCGAGAGAAGTAGGCTACATAATGAATATTTTGGCATTCAAATAGGCCTACATCACGAATACGGAAACATTTGATTTTGTGTCGAATGAGAGACCCAACGTTGGTTTCAGTTTCGTTTTAGTCTAAATGAATTCGTTTTGGCTTGTCGTTTATATTGCTATAGCTTCTTATATTTTTAATTCTTGTTCTTTTCTAAATACTGTTTTAGAAGGATTTGTTGTGGAGTCAAGGGAACTAAAATAGCTTGCTATGTTTACAGTGTTTATTATAATGTTTGTAAACATTTCGCATCGGCATTAGGCCTATTTCTGAATGAAATCATAAAATGCGACTTATACGCGACTTGCGTTTTCTTTCTCTAAAAAACGCTATTTTTTTATATACGCGTAGCGTATTTTAACCACACAGCAAACCTTTTTAAATATTTTGATAAATTACTGAAAAAATACAAAAATAAATGACTTTTTAAACCGTTTAACTGATTGTATTAATCGGTCAAAAATTCTTACAGTCGGTTAACGGTTAACCGGTTAAAATTAACATCCCTAATACGCACCCCTGGTCAGATACTCAAAACAAACAAAGTCTTAATGCCATAGAGCAGGGAACGGCAAACTTGGACCTGGAGGCCACTGTCCTGCAGAGTTGAGCCCTAACCCTAATCAAACACACCTGAACAAGCTAATTAATGTCTTCAGGATTACTAGAAGACTGCAGCACAGAGTTTGCCCATCCCTGCCACAGAGTCACAGTGCTGCACTCTACTCTTGGAAATCAACCAACTTGATAGTTGCTCTGCATATTAACATGAGACAGAAGAAACTTTTAAAAAATGATACGTCACCTGTAAGATGTTTATGTAAATGAGCTATTTACAGAAAAAGTCCCATAAGAAAATGAAAGTTGTTTACTTTCCACTGAGTTCACAGGCTTAGCTTAAACCTGTCAGACTGTCAGATATGCTAACCATCTCACTTCTTACAAGTGAAAAGTCAAAGCTAAAGCCGTGACTCAATGCATACTTGAACATGTTGTGTTGTAAATGCTCTAATCACCATACTGTGTTCTACTGTGCGTGTGTAGATTCATTTAGAGAAGCTCCTGACAGATTTGAAGGTGAAAAGCATCACTCCTGTATCGCTGTCTCTGATGCACACACACAATAGTGACGCCGACCCCCAGGAGATCAGCCTTAAACCCATGGAAATCAGGACTTACCGCCTGCAGCTGAGCTGAGCTGCAGTCACATCGGCTCATGTCCTCTGTGTTTTACACTCGAGAGCCGTGAGGTTGTTGCCTTCAGCCAAGGACTCGGTAAACGATTGTCGACAGAAACCTTAAGCTTCACTGCAAAACGCAATGTGAAACATCCCATGATTTCCCAACCAGCTCTCTCAGGTTATTGAACATAATGTGACACTTCTTATGTGTGATTCACTGTGCTGAGAGTTGACATTTTGCACTGGGAACGTACAAGTTGTTGTACGCTTTTAAAGTGTTGCTACAGTGGGCATGTTGCAAGAAACGCTCTTCTTACTTCTGTTACATGACGAAGAGAAAAGCTCCCGTTTTATATTTCCCAGATGAAAGTTAATATATACAGATTGTAAAATTGATTGGAGTCTTACCAAAAATTTTATTTGATTTGATTATTTTATTGCAATCCCAAAGTTTTTACTCTGAACTGTGCCTTTTAGTCTCGCAGGGTGGTGTTTGTCTTAATGGATGTGAGAAATTAGTATAAAGAAATTAAAGTCATCTTTAAACATCCACATATCTTCACAATCATACATTTGGTATTTTCTAATGCAGATCAACTAAATTGCTATTGTGTTGTTTGTTTGTTTTTAAATGTCCCTTGCAAATGACCGCAAATTACATGTGTTTATCACATTCATTAAAATAGGTTTAATGCAACTTGAAATTTAAATGATGAAGCCTCAGATTCTGTCTTTATCTTTTTTTAAACATATAGATACTGTATACATGCCACCTTTTTTCTTGTTAATTTGTCTATTTTATGCAGTCTGAAGGATTGTAAATAGGTTTAGTAACAACTTAAATTCATCAAAGGTGGGTGGGTGACTTGCAACAATTTCCTAAAGAATGTATATTGAAAATTGAATTCCATTGTTCTCAGAGATGATAATTATCAAAGAAGAAATTAAATGTTTTATTTAATATATTAGGCTATATGAATAGAAACATGCATATATTTTTATCAAAATAAATATAAATTCATGCAGTGGTTTATTTGAAAGGGGTAACGAATCATAAAATGGTGTCGTGGTTATTATGGATTATAAACTTTGTGTGATTGTGTTGAGGTTTATGAATGGAAATGATCTTAGATTTATTACACAATCAAACTATGCAAATGCACATTTTTGTCTTATGCAACAATGATCTATTTTTTTTAAACCGACTGGTAACACGGGACCTACGGGGTTTATCTTAAATCAAGTCCGAAATTCTCCATATTTTACCTGACAAAAGTTCTCGAGAATTTTTTCTGGTATGTTGTAGATTTGCAACAAGTTATGTGTTATGAATGTTTTCCTCAAATGCATTTTCCTTCATTCTGTGATGTTTATTCTTGAAGGGAGACCATTTCCTGTCTTTTTTTAGGTGTTTTCTTGTTTAAATCTGCTTTCAGACTGTCGATAAAAGAGTTGGTTGCTTGTCTTGAGCGTGATGAAGGATGATTATTTGTTGACTTGCTACTGTGATTTTTTTTTCGAATGTTAATTGAGTTGATTCAGCATGTTTTTCTTTTTCCTTTTATGAAAATTTCGACTGGCTTGCCGTTCAGTTGGTCAGTCAGAAGTGTTGTGATCACTGTCTTCCAACTAGCTGCTTAATTCACACTTTTATGAGCAAATTGGTCTGTGACTGGATAATGAAAGCAGGCCGATGCTTTCCAACCTTGTGAGAACATTCCTTTTTTTTAATCTTGAAAACTGTGGTGACTATCTGAAGAGTATGCCTCTTTTTACCAGTGTTGCCAATTACAATTGTAGCCAACGAATGTCTGTGTCATTTGAAAGGAATGTTACAAAAAAATAAAAAATGTTCAGACTTTTTTGTTTGGATTTCAAGGACTATTTCTTGTTGCTTTAAAGACTCATCGTATGTTGTCATTTCATGGTAACTGATAAGGTTTTGTGTTCTTTTTGACCTTTTCCATGCGTTTCTTCATGATCTTCTCCTCTTCCTCTTGCTTTCTTTTTTCCAGCTCTGTCTTTTCCATCTCTTCCTCTCTTTCCATCATTATTTTCAGTTCCTTTTGCCACTAAAAGATTTTAAAAAGAATAGTAATCAATTTTTAGCAATTCTCTGCACATATTTCTCTAGCCTCAAGCTCTTTGGGTCCCGTTACTGGGTACAGCTACTGTACCTCTATCTAAATACTAATCTAAACTTGGTTAGGACCGCTTAGCCAATCGGCCGTCTCTTGACTGGCTGATGGATTACTGCACTGAATCAAAGAGAATGCAATACTCACTTGATCTTCCACAACTTTAATCAGATCAATATCAGTCCTGGTTCTCAGGTCCAGATGAGAAGCTTCATGTTTGCCCTGTCTGATCAAATATGGCACATATTTGAAATGAAAGAGATCAAATAAGGCACGTGTGATACAGTGATGTTATTAGATGGTAATACTGAGGTATTTTGATATATTCCAGTGGTACTGAATGATTTAACGGTCATATGAGTTTTTCATCTGCCAGTGTAAATATGAATATCTATAGAGCAGAATGGTTAATGATATGTAATAAAATTGAACAACCACAAAAGTTCAAGAGTTTGAAGTCGGTGAGACTTCTGATCAATTTATTGCATCTTTACTAAATAAAAGCATTAATTTCTTTTAAAAAAGAGCAATCTTACTGACATGAAACTTGAACGGTAGTATATATATATTATGCAACATCTACCAGTACTCTTAAAAGGTTATCACTGTTTCCACAAAATAATATTACGCAATAAAAATAGTTTTCACCAAATCTGTATATTACAACGATTTCTGTGGGATCATGTGACACTGATGGGTGCTGAAGATTCAGATGAGTCATTACAGGAATAAATGACATTTTAAAAGATAATAAAACAGAACACAGTTTGTGATACTATTTCACAATATTACTGCTTTTACTGTATTTTTGATCAAATTAATGCAGCTTAGTGAGCATAAGAAACTTCTTTAAAAAATATGGTATTCCCGTGATGTACAGTATTTTTCTGTTAGTGTAGCAGATGCAGTTTTTTAGAAGAGAAGCCAATAACCTTGGTGTCTTGTGATGGTCTTTCGTAATGGAGTGGGGTGTGATCAGTTCAGGGCGTCCTCTTCCGGCCCTGGCTGTGGAAACTGCCTCTTTCCTGGGTTTGGTGGTTTTTATTCTGTGCCGGTGGTCTGCAGAATGAGTAGTGAGCTGAACTGGAGAGCAGATCTGGGAAAGAGAGTGTGCTAGCCGACCAGTGATCCGCTCGCTCTGTGCACATACGCACACTTCAACTGTGTGGGAACTTCTCATCCTCTCTCTGTGGTTCTCCAGAAGCCTTTTATCACCCTGGAAAGGAGATAATAACAGGGTGAAACTGCAGGGTCCTATTGATCATGCAGAGGCTTGAATGAAGATTCTGTTCTTGACTCATCTGATTTCATAGAGTTTAATGCAGTCACACCAGATGAATGTTTAAAGCTACAACAATGTGCTTCAGCTTTTAGTTTAAATTCAGATGTACTTTCCTTTCTGATGCCTCATGCGCTCTCTATTATGTCACCTCAGTGCTAGGCACAATATAACTCCTTGAAATCTGGACTGAATCTGCATAAGCCTCATGCATTATTCAGCTGGATGAGGGTGAAATATCAAAACACATCTGCTTTCTTTCTTTCGTTCTTTCTTTCTTTCGTTCTTTTTTGTAAATAACACTGTCCTGTCCACTGCTCAGCATAACATAATAACTTTCTACTTTTATCATTTTTACAGTATATAGTTTTGGGGTTTGGGGTCAGTAAGTTTTTTTTTTTTTTTTTTTTTAAGAAATCCATACTTTTTTTCAGCAAGGATGCATTAAAATTGATCAAAAAAATAGTGACAAGATATTGATGATGTTACAATAGATTTTTATTTCAAATAAATGCTATTCTTTCGAACTTTCTATTCATCAAAGAATCCTGAAAATGTATCATAGCATAATAATAAGAAATGTTTCTTGAGCAGCAAATCAGCACATTAGAATGATTTCTGATCATGTGACACTGAAGACTGAGGTAATGATGCTGCAAATTCAGCTTTGCATCACCGAAATAAATTATAATTCAAAATATATTAAAACAGAAAACAGTTATTTGAAATTGTAATAGTATTTCACAATATTACTGTTTTTGCTGTATTTTTATTCAAATAAATCTTCTAAAAAAAAAAACATTTAAAAAAACGTAACTTTTAAATGGTAGTGCATACTGCAAATTTTCTCTATGCATAAAATACCTGTATGACCTACTACATTTGCCAAATAACAAAGCACATTGTGCACAATATCCCGCAATGCACATACAGATGACCCTAAAACTACCAGATAAGGACATGTTGACTTCAAGTCAATGTCTCTTAACTAATGTTTACGGACTTCAGGAACATAAATCTCACTTGGTAGAAGGAAATTATTCTAAATAAGTTTGAAGTCAAAAGATTTCACCTGAAACATTACCTAGTGAAAAGTTCAAAAGAGTAATTGACAGGCCAGGTTAAGCAAACAAGGGCTTTTGTTTTTCTTCAGTTTGCTGTGAGTAGTGTTGTAATATCTGGGCTATATTTCCTCTGTAGCAGCAGGAAGCTGGAGTACCTCAGTGATCCTCACAACATTCATGACACGGGGGTCTGTCTCCTGCTTCAGGTGCTTCTGCAGCATTAACCAGGCTGTGTTCCTCAAACCATCCTGAAGCGTAATCCTGCGGCTGATCTGTGCCAAACCCTGAACCACACTGTACCGCAGCCTCCATGTGTCTTCATGCGCTACAAACACAGATATATGTGCTTTACTTTCAATATATGATAAAAGACTAGTGGCCCCAAAAAGTATTTGGACACACTATTTGCTAATATTTTTAGCAGCTGTATGAAGTCAGTTGTCCTCAAGTTCACACTGAGTAACCAGGGCTCAGGATGGCATCCCCACTGGTGGAAAAAAATTACAAAAAGCATCCCCTCAGTAAAACCACCATCCCTCTAACCATCCCCTTTAGAATAATAATGTTGTGTATTATTATTATTATTATTTTAATTAAAATTAAAATTAATGCAATATAAAGATACATCCCAACAAACTTTTTATTTATTTCATATGTATTTTATCATTTATTTATTTTTCACGGTGAGTTTCTCATTTGAAAAGTAGATCCCCACACAAAAAAAGTGTGGGCAACCAACCCTGGTGTAGAGCAACACGGTGAGTTTCATTCCCTGAATGAATCTGTTTCTGAACGAATCAAGTGAGCCAGTGATTCAACGGTTCGTTCACTTGTTTTGTTTCTAATTGAATCCGCCGTTTTGAACGAATCCTTTGATTTGAATGATCCAATGAGAAGGGTCTGGCTGCAGCCTCGCACTTGCACTCTATGGTGAGAGATTCAAACACAAAGTAATCAATAAATAGAACAAAATAAAAAAAATAAAAGAATGCAAGTGACGTCGCTAGCGGAAGCGCAAGTGTCTGAGAATGCACGTCTGAGAGTGCAAGTGCAAGGCTGCAGCTAGACCCTCTTGGATCCAATAAATCATTTATTAAAACAGGGACTTGCTGCCACCTCCTGGCGGTTTTATTGTCATCTTTATTTATCCATGATGGTCCAAAACCAGCCAAGGTGCCATCACAAAAACACATTCAACAAAATATTGTTTAAGTAACAGTATTGACCAAAATTCCTCCATTTCGGGCCCCAGAAGGAGCTTTTAAGTTTTTCTTTTTTAATAAATCTGCAAAAATGTCAACAATTCTGTGTTTTTCTGTCAATATGGGGTGCTGTGTGTACATTAATGAGGAAAAAAAATTAACTTAAATGATTTTAGCAAATGGCTGCAATATAACAGAGTGAAAAATTTAAGGGGGTCTGAATACTTTCCGTACCCACTGTATATACATATATATATAAAAGCTTATAATAGTTTAATAAGGCTAAATTTTCATTAAATAAAATCCTTTTTAGACAAAGAAATTGACCACCATCCCTTCTGAATTTTTTTTTTTACAATTCGACCACTGAGAGTAGTGTCGCTCAACACATTAATTACAAACATGATCCCCCATTTTGACAACCGGAAAAGTGTCTCAATACTTTTGTCTATTGTTTTATCAGTTAAAATCTTACTTTTATGTGACCTAATACTTTTTGGAAGCCACTGTACATAAACTTTGTCACACAGAATAGACTGAATTGCCTACAACCCCTTCTGAGATTCTAGTCTCATGTAAACGTTGTATGCAGATCTTTCTGTTTAAAGCACTTACATTGTTTTAGCAAGGTTATAATTCCTCCAGAACGTCTGCACTGAGTAGAGTTTGACTGTCCACTGAGGGCTGTTTTCTTAATTTCAGCACAGTAGCTGTTTTGGCAAATGTTGATCAAAATAGAGCAGTAAATGTACTCCAACTGCCACGGCCAGGAAGCTTTCTGCGATGTCATTTCCTGCGTTAACAAAATACACAAAAATAATAGATCCCACAACAAGTATTAATGAATCAAATGATTAGAGATTTATTTAGAACCGTTCTGGGTGTGAATTTTGAGTAAGGAATGAATAATTCGATACAAATTAAAATTCTCTTATTATTCTCATTCACAAAATTCTGTCATTTATCTCTTTTGTCAAAAAATATATTCATTAATATTATATTTTATATTATATTATTTATATTATATTACGATATTAACGTGCAATTCTTGAACACATTTACGTATATAACGTCTTCTATGATGAGGTTGTTCATTAGGTTTTTCACTGAATGTCAGTCTTTTGATTTCCAAATAGAATAATTTCCTTTATTTATGTTCCCGAAGTCCGCAAACATTAATAAAAGACACTGACTTAAAGTCAACTTGTTCATTTGTGGTAGTTTTAAGGCCATCTGTATGCTGAACTGCAAGGGCAAGTGCATTGCATTTTGAGATACTATGAACAATGGAAACATTTTGGCAAATGTACAGTAGTATGTCGTACAGGTACTTCATGTATAAAGAAAATTTGCAGTATACTCTACCATTGTTGTTTTATTTCTCAATTAATATTAATTTTGATATTGTTTTCGGGGGCATAAAGTCAAAAATACCAAGGAGATAAAACATAAATCATAATAAAGAATTTATTACTTAACCTTATCTTATAATATTTTATTATATCTCAGGAAAATACTTTCACAAAACTACTTTTTTGTGAAAACAACAACAACAACTAGATTAAATTCATACAACTTTGAAATGTTGTCATTATCTGTATCTGAACCCAACTGATTTTCATTAACCATTCCTTTCAATCAGTGTTTCAATGTGTTTTTCCCCCACCATCCCTCTACTTTCTTAGGCACCTGAGAACTTTCTTGTCTTTGGGTCATGTGAAGGTTCATAAGTGTCTGAAGGCACAGCATGCTAGATTTGGCAGCCTCTCCCAGAATCATCAGTCCTAACCCACAGTGGGCCCTGAGAAAAGAGAAGGTGAAAAAGCCTGATGTTACTGTGGGATTTAACCTACAGTTCCACCTATAAGCTGCGTACATAACGTAAAGACCTGTGGAAAGCATCTCCCAAACACTTCACGCACCAGTTGTCATGTTGAAGTTTATCTCTCAGCAACATAAGCTGTTTGATCACTTGAGAGAGCTGAGTGCCATTGTTTTGCACACAGTGATAGCTGAGAAGGCAGTGCCATAGTATCTGGTTAACACCATGCTCCTGTGCTTCCGCAGAGACCTGTCAGTCAAGTAGAGTTTTCACTTCAGTGAATCATTCAGCACTCCCTTTCTGATACAGCTGACCCAGCCTTCAAACCTGCAATGAACTGTCGTTGGTAAGTTTGAGAGCACACAGATCCTCCCCGAAGCGCAGCATGAAGTGAGCGGCAAATAACATGTCGGGGAACTCTTGGTAGCGTGTCTCACATTTCAACAGCCCTGTCAACAGATGAAGACAGCTGTTAACTTTATATGCATTCCACTGATTCTTGAGACATGTCCCACAATTTTACTTACCATACTTTGAAAACACCTGTCATGAGATCATAACTAAATCATTCTTTTTGACAAAATATTAGTTTTTTTTTTCAACTGCTTACACACATTTTCAAAACTTTGCCATCCTTTTTTCAAAACTTTACACACAAATCCAAGAATTGCACACACAAAATGCAAAATGCTTCACATCTCTTGCAAAATGAAGCACTGCATTCAAAATATCACAAACACATCTCAAAAGCAAACATTTGCAAACACCTTTGCCATAATATTAATTCCTGTTAATTAGCGAGAATTAGCGTATGGTTTTGCAGATTTGGTGTGTGGTTCTGGTGTTTGAGTGTCAGGTTTCAGAAATTGTGTGACAAGTAAAGATTTTGTGTGTAAGCAGTTGAAAAAAAAAACTGTAATTATGATGTCATATAACATATTTAAGAAAGCCCGTTTCTGCCGACTAAGAAAAACAATCATTGTGAATCATTGGTAAACCATAACTATGAATAAAAAGTCATTATTATAAGACAAAAAGTCAAAATTCTGATATTAAAAGTCATTACATGAAAAGTTATTGTCATAAATCGACATTTTGTCATAATTATGACTTAGTATATCATCACAATTTCAACTTTTTATTCCATAATGCCAAGTTTTGTCATAATTATGACCTTTCATGTCAATTTTTACATCAAACTTTAGGGTTTTTATCTCGTAGTTATATCTTAACAAATCAACTTGTATGCCATAATTTTGACTTTTGAGTGCATCACTGATTTTTGACATTTTGAAGTAATGTTTGACCTAAGACTGACTCAGACCTTTTAAGCTGTGAAGATAGATGCTGCTTGGCTGATGTCCTTTCAAATTACCAGTCAGTTTAAAGATGAACAGCCTCAGAGAGACTAAATAACCAAGCTGTAAAAATAAATAACTAATTAGAGTGAAACTGTCAGCAGAACTTATATATGAAAAGAAAGATATATAGGCTAAATAAGGACTGATATATAGATACTTCTGTAATTACATAGAGAAAAGGCTTTACTTGTGTTTAGTTAGCAAATATCTGAATAAATAATAATAATAATGAATAAATGAAAAGTGTATGCAATTACAGAATGACCCATGTTTAGAGATTGTATAGCGTGTTGGCATGTACCTGCAGCATCTTCATCTCATAAGAACATGGCTGGTCCAAAAGAGTTGTTTCAGAGCACAGGAAATACTGGGCTGACTCTGCCAGGTGGAACAGCACAGGGATCTGATCTGCATCAACAGGTGCATGGTCCAATGACACGACCAGGACATCCAAAGAATCTAAGAAAAATCATGAGCATCATCTGTCATTTTTCCACTAACCAAATACACCAAAACGTACCATGGTAATATGTTTTTTGAAATTGATGTACCACAATATTCTTAGAAGTACCTTGGAGTGTAACCATGGTATGTGAGTATTGTAATTATTCAGTCTTATGGCATATAAAAGTACTAATATGTTCTGAGTACTGGAGTTAACACATGGACAGTCTCACTGTGAATCTGTAGGCAATTGAAACAGATGATTCATTTGTAGAAATAGAAGCTGTCAGCCTCTGCAAGTTATTGACACACCATTTCTAACTTTTCCATTGCACAAGCTCAGCAGGAGAAGCTGTGTCCAGGCCCCGGGGAGATCAACATGTTTGCCTTCACCTCCAGATGTGAATCCTGCACGACGCTGAGGACAAAAAGCGAATCACTGCGGTTGGTTGAGTCGAATGTTTTCATCAATGGAGGTTCGTCTCCACCGTGTGGCTGGAGAGAGTAATATGTCGATTTATTACAACTTGTCAGAAGTTCTTTTCGAGGGTTTTTCGGAATCGAATACATCTCCATAATGAAGCCTTATTTCTAAAACAATTTAAACTGAGTGAACAATTAAGGAAGCATATTTAGCCTAATACCTTGCATCGACTAAGAAACTGCTTTGCAAGATGTTCATACTGTTCCTGCTCTTTGCAGCCTTGTGCTTGATTGTATTTTTCAATGAAGCCTTCTGTTGTTTCAAAGGGGGTTCTGTAAAATACGACAAATGTCATAGTTAATGTCAGTTTAATAAAAAATCATTTTAATAACAATAATATACATTTTAATGGATGGATGTAGCGTACTATTTTTTTTTTCGTTGTTTCGTTTTGGCTTTCGCAGCAAAAAAAATAATTTGTAATTTATTTATTCAGATACCTTCTGACATCGGTGGCATTTCTAGCAGTATCAGTTTCTTCGGCCCTTTTTCTGAAACGTTTTTTTAAATCCTCTTGTTGAGACTGTGACACTATTCCTAAATAATGTTTGATAGGAATTTTGAGTATAGGCATATTGATAGGTTCAGCTCAGTCTCTCACAATGCAAATGTCCACACTGTCAGGGACGTCGAAATGTTGCTATGGTTACATTGTCAACAATATCTTAAAATTGTTACATGAATACATTTTAATACATGCATATATCTGAATATAAACTTTTAAAGAGCCGAATTAATTGCGGTGCACAGCTTTATAAAGCTATTCACAATTAGATAAAACGTCATTACGACACGACTTTTTTTCATAATTGATTTTTTATCTCATAGTTTAGCCTATGTTAATGTCAACCCAGTGTTAAGGTTTAGTATGTCATCGTTTCTATTTTTTAATTTGATAATGTCGACTTAATGTCACAACTTCGCTTCCTTCCATGTCATACGCATGATTACACAAGCATGATAAGCCACATGTGTGATTGTTTACATACGGCGCCGCTGGTGTAGTGGTATCATGCAAGATTCCCATTCTTGCGACCCGAGTTCGATTCCCGGGCGGCGCACTGCTTTTGGTCTTCAAATATAAACATTTCAGTGCATTTCTCTACTTTCTAACTGTTATTTCCTTCTAAACACTGCACATATAGTGTACTTAAATTACTGTTTAATGTAATGTACAGAACTCAGGCGCATTTTCAAAGCTTGTTTTCTGTGCGCTTTGTAGTTCGTACGCGCATGCGCGCTTTCATTTCCGGTCCGGTTCTTCCGCCATTTTATGTCGCCTTTCCATTGTTCATAACTGGAGTCAGCCGCGGCGGCATTTCACATTTACTCTCGTTATAACAGGTTTGGCGGAGAACAGAGAGGGTAACAACAGTGGAAAGAGCGGGACACGGGCGGAACTCGAGATCATCTCAACATCTACACAAGAGGATTTTCTCTCAGGGTTCGGTGTCTTAATTCGATCGGGAAAATATGATGGACGACGAGCAGCCCAAGACCCTGTACGTAACGTTATATTGGCATTGCACGCCAACACTTCAGACAGCCAACTTCATATCATATCATCAGTCATTCCTGTCTTATCTCTTCAAAAACATTTTCTGATTTGTCATTTAGCTTGTTTGTAGTTGTTAACAGTCTTGAGTGTGATGCAAAGGGAACTAACGTAACGTACAACCACAAAGCAGACGTGTACACCGTGTGCCTTAAACAAAAACTCCGACTGCTGGAATTAAAGATGTACGTTATATTTGTCGCCGAAGACCGTTAAACAAAGGACAGTTGTGTGTTTTCAAAGCGTTTCGTGCCCCATGTGCTAGTTGTTGAGTTAATTTAGATAATTGCAGCAGGCCTGTCGAGGCCACAGCAGGGCCGCTCACGCTCACACTGCTGTCTGTGTTTGAGTGTGAAGTTGCCTTGTACTTACTGAAAGCTCATTGTCGTTACAGCATTGCTAGACAAAGAGCCAGTCTAGTGTATTCACTCACGTATGTATAACCCTTCGCTTCTATAAATGCTGCATGCTTGTGCAATTGACACGAAGACATGTGTAAATACAGATTGTAAATGTGAAAATTGCGAATATTTTGGTCATAGCAGACTTCTCAGTGGAGAGCTTTTGTTGCTGGTCGTTCACGCTGGCTGTGTGCTCCGTTGTGTCATCTCTGTTTCAAACCTGTATACACGACAATAAGCAGCTCATTGCCGGATGACTAATGAGGTTTTTTTAAGGTTAAGTAACGGCCCGTGGGTCCTCATGCCTACCTAATTCCTTTATAATGTAAATGAGTTGGATCATTGGAACTCAGGTACTTGAAGATGGCACAGATTGCGCGCATGGACGCCTATAATTAGTGTATCAAATTATAGATTCAAATACATGTTTCTTCTATTTAGCAAGTCACTCATTGTTATTTGCTTATCACTTTTTTTTTTTTGTCCAGGTATGTAGGAAACCTGTCACGGGATGTGACCGAGGCCCTTATAATGCAGCTCTATAAGGGGTGAAAATTGGATGGTTCGTCACGATACCCGATTCTCATACCCAGTGATACGATATTTGTCAATACTTCAAAAAAATTAACGGTACGGTTCGATACAGGAGAATATTGATCGATATTATTATATTATATACCTATTTTAAACAACCATCTACATTTTTATTAACTCACAAATGCAACCAAAACATATAACATGAACATTTATCTTAAATTTTCACACCCTGTTCCTCAATTGGGACATTCACAACAAAAAATAGGCCTACCCTTTTTTTTCTAAAATAATACAGAAAAATTAATAATTGAAAGAGAAAAAAATAAATCAAGTCACACACAAGATCAGTAATCTTAAGATATGACAAGAGTCAAGACAGTCTTTCAGGTTTCTGTGCTAAAATATGCAATGTGTAAGATAATGTAAATTATAATTAGGAAACAACACAAATGAGATACTCCAGTTGTAGAAAAAAATACATGAATGTAGAAAAAATAAAATAAAAAATTAAGCTGTTGACTTTATTTCATACTTTTTTTCCACTGCTACTATGGGCTCAGTGCTAAAAACCTTTTCTACAGAACCAAATTACAAGCAATAGCAGAAAATAAATACAGTATAACAAAGACACAAATTAAATAAACAGTGTTTTTCAGGTAGATCTAAAATAAATTTCCAGGTACAGAAATGTAATCAAATGTAAAATAACACTGCATAGTCTTTACTGTATAGATTACATATAGATGAATCCTTATAAAAGTTGTTCAGTCAAAATCAGTGAGATTTTGCTTTCACTTTAAGAAAAGCACGGATCCAATATAGGTACTGATACACATGCGTTTTCTTTCTCAGCTGTTTACGTTAAAGGGATAGTTCACCCAAAAATGAAAATGTGATGTTTATCTGCTTACCCCCAGGGCATCCAAGATGTAGGTGACTTTGTTTGTTCAGTAGAAAACATATGATGATTTTTAACTTTAACCGTTGCAGTCTCAGTCGTATAATGCATGGCAATGGTAACAAAATCTATGAGAGTAAAAAAAACATGCACAGACAAATCCAAATTAAACCCTGCGGCTCGTGACGACACACTGATGTCCTAAGACACGAAACGATCGGTTTGTGCGAGAAACCGAACAGTATTTATATCATTTTTTACCTCTAATACCCCACTATGTCCAACTGTCTTTGAGCGCGCGCACGGCATCCGATGCGTGAGGGGTGTACGCACTCTGGCGTAGTTTACGCAAGCGCCGGAAGTGATCTCTCGCGCGTATACGTCACTCATTGTTTACACAGTGCACA